AAATAGTGTCTGGATAAAAGCAGTCCTAAAAATATAAATTCAATGTTATATGAAATAATGAAAAATCTTATTCCCAACCTAAATAAGCTAAATATCCACTTACAAAATAGGATTTTACTCATAATATTTTGAGCTTATTTTAAGACATAAAATTAGAAAATTTTAAACAAAATGGTTCTATAGGGCCATTAAAATATCCTTCCTATCTGTCTATCTATCTATCTATCTATCATCTATCTTTTCATGCTTTGGGGTAAAATGGAAATTTTGCCTTTTGAATTTTCTAAAGATATCTCTGATATAAATGCAAAAAAATTTTTTTGAATAATACTATGTCTAAAATGAAGCATGTTTTTGGACTAAGCTTTCTTACCCTGTTCAGTGCTCACAGTAGAAAAGCTTTCAGAAAACTCTTTACCCCCCACAGATGTGTAAATTAGGCTTGCTTAGCTCCTGGGAGGTCCTCTTATATTTCACAAATATGCTGTGATCTTTATAAAAAGATTTTTAGTAGAAGGAAAAATATCTTTTCCTTCTACTCATCTTAGGTTCATTGGCTGAGGCCCTTGTAACAAAAGACAGATTAACAAGAGAAAAGCATATAAATGTATTTAATATAAGTTTTATGTAACACAGGCATGTTCATAAGGAAATGAAGACCCTAAGAAGTGGTTAAACCTGGATGTTTTTATGCGAAGCTTGATGAAGAGTGGAAAGTCATGGAGAAATATGATAGGACAAAGAAACAGTATGAGCTAAGGGTACTGAACTGGGGGAAACTTAGCAAGGCTGTTTAGATTCCTGTTCCTTTCCTCTGGTTAGAGAGAGGGCAACTTTCACATGAGTGTCTTACAGCCTGCTTCAAAGGAAGATCAGAAAATCCTTCCTGGATTTTATGACCTGCTTTAGGGCAAGGTCAAAAAGTCCTTCCTGTACATGACATTCCTCAAATTCCTTCAGCTTAAAATATTCAGTATGGCAAGCTGCCATATTTTGGGGTAGTATGTCCTGATCTTTATCAAAAGCAAATAAAAAAGAGAAAGAGGAAGATACCACCTCCCTCTCTTTAACAGTTTGTGCTTTTAATTCAAGTTCAAGTTGAATTAAATGCTTTTGTAAGAATGTTGATCTGTTTACGATTTTGTAGCCATAGGCTTTGCAACTGAGATTATGATTGTTAAATGAACCAATAAGAGAGAATGAGGGAAATGAAAAGTGATAGATCATTTTAGCACTACCACTATTCATAGCTACTTTCTTTTTATCACATCTGTCATCATCCCTCCTTTTACAGACACAAATGTGTCCCCTTGGCTGCGTGACAGCCATCATTGTAATCATCTGTCACCTACTCACAGTGATGGCGGACTTGTGGGGTGTATAGAAATGGCTTTTTAAAAGTTAGATTGCTTTAAACATAAACTATCTTCATGAGTCATGTTAGACGTTATCCTTATTGTCCCCCAGGCCCTCAGTTCGTTGGTGACAAATTTTCAGGGAAGAATGCACATATTTGTGTTTTATGATTGTGAGATGCCAGGATCACTGGTTGAAATATTGAAAACAACAACAAAAAAATCAGCCAAACAACTGCCTCTATCATATCATGTAGATCATTCTTAGAATTAAAAACATATATAGGCCGGGCGCGGTGGCTCACGCCTGTAATCCTAGCACTCTGGGAGGCCGAGGC